TAAAATAAACTTCAAGACCAAAAATGTATTTCGAAAATGAATTTTTCTTAAAGTTGTTGACAATATACAAGCCAAAAATTTTTATTTGTTTTTTTGTTTTTTAACTAAGCAAAGCACATAAATTAATAACGTCAAATAATTATTGTAAAATTTATTGTCAACAAACATTACAAACGAGTATGGCAAAAATTAAAAAATAAAATATTATAAACAATTCATTTGTCAATTTTGTATATTTTTCAGGCAAATTTCTTGTAGTGTACTATTGTTACTTCCAATTGGTTTTTCCTTTTAATTCTAATATGTTGCCAACTAGCCGTTTTGCTTCATATATTAGCTCAATCATATCTTTGATAATGAGAGAGTAGGGTTGTTGCAATATGCTATTATTTTCAATGAATTTATTTAATGTTGAGAATCATAACAAAGAAGAGACATTTGCGTGGTAACAATTTTGTCTAAATGATTTGTAGTAGTTTTTTATATTGCGACACTGTTGGGAATTCCCTTTCCGGTGATTCCACCACCACCTTCACTGGTAGGATAAAGCAAGGTATATGGTATCTTCACTGGACCAACCCTGTTCTTCCATTGCTTGTCATTGTTCATTCCAATGATCTTCTCTTCAATCTCTGAAAGTCTCTTCCCAAACTCTTCAAAGGCTTTTAATGGTGTTGCATCAGTGGTCCATTCAGGGGTGTCCCTCTGTCCCAGATACACCTCATCAGATGAATGCCTTGACAGGATTTCGATGAGGGAGATGCCCAAGAGTGTCTGTAGCTTTGCAGTTATTGTTTTCAGGAAAGCCTTATCCGGGTTTGCCTCAAGCTCATCGTATTCAGGGGTGCCCTTCTCTGGCATGAACCTCCTGCTGATTGTGGGGCGGTTGGGGAGGTAGCCAGCATAAGGGTATTGACCAAAGTTGGTTGCTGCATGGAGAGCAGAGGCAACCCAGATGACAATGGTGCAGGTTTCTATCAGCTCTTCCCTAGTCTGCATTTTAGGCCACCATGGCTCATCTTTCTTGTCACCATGCCCTTCTTCTTTCAATTCTTTCCACCAAGATTGGAGTTCAGGATCTTGTTGAATCATTTCATCGGTTTTATAGTAGAAGGAGCAATAGTCTC